AAGTTTGTAGTTAGAGCTTTCTAAACAGAGCTTCCAGTAAAATCAGACCTAACGAAATAGATGAAACAAAATAAGAGTTTTTTACAAAGCACAAAACCAAAAGTGGTTGAATATTTCCACCATTTTGTTAGTGCAGAGAGACTGATAAATGTTTTAAGGAGCTGCAGACAGAAGTGTAGCTCCACACGAATGATTGGTACAAACTTGGCAGATTTCCACCAACTTTCATGGTTGATTCTGGTTTTTTCCCTCCCCTCACTTTAAAATCACTGAATGGTTTAAAGAGTGGTTAAATAGTTTCAGTTGAATACTGAAATCAAAGGGAAGAATCATAGCAGCTTTGTGATTACAACATAAAAATTCTTCATGAAGAACAAAGCACTAATCTGAAAAATACATCTAGATATTTTTCTTGAATTTGACAAAGCAGTATGCCTTTGCAAAGAAATTTCTAATGGAAACTGGATCATATATATGCTCTTCAAAAAAGAAGCACTGTTTTTAAAATAAGCTGTTAACTTTTTCATGTTTCTATATAAAAACAATAATTTAGATTTTCTCACACAATTAACATGACAACCAACATACTGAAATCTAACCCTAGTTCTAAATATTTAATTTAATTCTTTATATGTGTCAATTGCATTTTATTTTTTCCAAATGATCAGGATTGGATTTGGATTATTTAATTATGGCAAAGCACACGAGGGCTATCTGCCTAAAGGGAGGGATGCCTTCGTGGAGGACTTTCTTTGGGAAACTGGCTCGTATACACATTACACATGGGAAAAACCATGAAAACCCCCATGCAGCCAGCGCGTTCACGGGATTCGAACCTCGGACTGAACTGCCAGTGTTTAGCGTCTTTATCGCTCGGTGGCTGGTGGGCTCCAAGGATCAGACATTCCTCAGAACCAATGAATTTTCAAATCTCAAATTTTAAGGTCAATTTTATTTTATTTTTGTTATCTTATTCAAATCCTAAACTAAGTAATCCCCAAACATTGTGTACACACAGTTTTTTGAAAAATATAACACACGAAGGTTTATTTACCCCATTCTCCTGTCCTCAATTTTATGGTATAAGTGGCCAGTATTGGTAGAACCATGGTTTGAATCCAAGAGAAGATATAGTAGATTTTTCATTTTTCCTGTTCTGAATAGCCTAATGACCTAAACATAGTTACAAATCATTCTAATTCCACTTGATAAAGCAGATGAAAGTTCTATTAATTTTTATAATATATTTATTATTTATTTGATTATTTATCTACTAGTAATTTATTTAATAATGTACTTTACATTTTATTTAATTTTAATTTTTTGTAATTTAGTGTTTTAATTATTATTACTTTGGTCATACCAATTTTTATGCATCATTCCTAAAAGTTTAACCCTCTGGCTGATCATCCCGCGATTTCCACGGGCAACTCAAATGTAGCAAAATTTGCTCATCCGGCGATTACCGCGGGCATATGTTTTTCTTCCTTTACTGAGGAGCGGATCCAATTTTTTTCCTGTTTAACCATTGAAATAAATTATATACAATATTAGGCATTTAGTTTACATTTTGGCCAAAAGATATTGTTAGTTATCCACTAAATTGCGGCATTTGAAGGCACGTGGTATTAGCATTCAAACTTTACTTTTTGCTGCTTTTTTCTTTGAGAAATGGCTGCTAAAAAACATTCAGCGATTATCTTCATTAATTCAATTGTTCAATTATTAATTAGATTAATAATTAGATTGATTACTAATTAGATTTATTGAATCTGGTACAAAGACTGTGAAGTTGGACTTGAACCCTGTTTTGAACTCTATCACGCTAAACTGCATTTCTAAGATAATTTTCCTACAGCGCTTTATATTTTTTAAAATTTTATATATTTTACTTTTTTATATTATGCAATAAATAGAAATTAACTGCAATTCGACAGAAATTTATTTTAAAAAAAAAAAATTTTGGCTAATCTTTGGAATATGGTAAAAGGTAGTTTGGCGACATTTTGGAGGCGATAAAGGTTTTACTACCTAGGACTTTGGGAATAATGTGAAGAAGTACTCAGTTCCGATTACGCATTTTTTTTGTGTGAGGGAAATGAGAGATCATGAGATGTGCCATGTGACATTAATGGACGAATCACTGTTCTTTAATCAGAAAAGGGGGGGTAAATTAAAAAAAAATACCTGCTGCTGTACTTAATAGCATTAGTTTCATTCTATGTTCTGTGTGAAAACAGTGTTGTTTAATATTTGGATCCCATGGCCCTATATAAAGTAAATCCGAAAATTTTTATTGCCATTTATGTGTAATTGAAAAGAATTGCTTAATTGCGGATCAAGTATGAATGTTTTTAACATGTGGGAATGAAATGAGATAAAAGAGAGATTGTGTGAAAGGAAGGATATTACAGATAAGTTTGAATGACGGTGCAAGAAATCTTAGTGAAAATGGACATTTTGTGATCCACCATGCACTCAAGATTCTGTAGAAGATTTGGTAAGTTAGTATTTTTAATAATTTGAGGATATTATTTTATGCATTGTTTCTAAATGTAAGGAGTAAATAAATTAATATGGTATTATTGGAAAAATTGTTTATTAGCAATGATTAGTTTAAAGTAATTAAGATTTTAAGTTAATTAGATTGTAAGCTAATTTTTATTAATTTAAGTGTATGTGCTTATTTATATTTTAAGTAGTGTTTTTTAATTTAATGATCGTGATTTTGAGAGTTATGTGTTTGTAGTATTTTGGAATACGTTTGAGTAGAAGTAAATGTGCATGGAAAGAATTTAAGTATTTGGAACCATTTTTAATGTTTGCGTTATAAATTGGCAGGTGAGGTTTATAATAGATAATTTAGAGGGAAAAGTTTTTGGATACTTTATTTATTTTATACGTGCAAATGGAAAGGGTATATTCCTTGGAAAGGGTATATACTTTTTCGCAATCAGGTAATTTTATATATGTCCTTTTTACTGAATTTAAAGATTCACAAAATTTTCATGCATTTTCATGAAATTTTTCTAATTTATGAGAAAAAAGCAGTGTACATGGATATAGTGATGAGTGTGCGCAATGCCATTTTTGTGCAATTCTGGGATGCTTTTTTAAGTAAAAATAAGTCAACGTGTACATGGTTTAATTAAATTTTAATTAAATGATAGTTATTTTGTGAATTATATGTTTGTAGCAATTTGGTATACGTTTGAGTGAAAGTAAACGTATACGTTTCAGTTGAAGTAAACGTGCATGGAAATAATTTAAATATTTGACACTAAGTATTTGTAACCATTTGTAATGTTTGTGATATGAATTCGTTGGTGACGTTTATAATATAATAGATAATTTAGAGGTGAAAGTTTTTGGATATTTTATTTATTTTATACATGGAAATGTTCATCTTTGGAAAGGGTATATACTTTTTCGCGATCAGGTAATTTCATATATGTTCTTTTTACCGGATTTAAAGATTGACAAAATTTTCATGCATTTTCGTGAAATTTTTCTAATTTACGAGAAAAAAGCAGTGTACATTATTAGTGAAGAGTGTGCACAATGCCATTTTTGTGCAATTCTGGGATTTTTTTTTTAGTAAAAATAAGTTGACGTGTAAATGGTTTACGTGTATCTGCTATTCTGAAAAACGCGCAAGGAGTTTGCGATTGTGCACTTTTTCCCAATTTTGCAGTTAATATTTGTCATGATTAAGCAGTTTTGTTACATAAAATTTCTAGCATAAGTGTAATTCGGCTAGTAGATTATTGGAAAAAGTGTTCAGTAAATAAAAAGAAAAGAAACATGTCTTTACTTCGTGAAGACAAAATAGCGGCGGAAAAAAAAAATAGAGGGTTGCTGTAGCAGAGTTGGTCCCCAAATTTTCGCCAAAAAATCACCAAGTTACCATAATCCAAAGATCAACCACCATTTCTGTGCAATTCTGGGATTTTTTTTTTTTTAAGTGAAAATAGGTCGATGTGTATATGGATACTGAGTTTGTGCAATTCTTCATCTTGTTATTTTGGCTTTGTATCGCCATTACACAAGCCAAAGAATTGCACAAACTTTGTATCCATGTACAGCCAAAAATCGCCAAGTTTCGCCAAAGGATACCCTAAAATATAATTTTACCTTTCTTTTTACTGTAGCTATATAACTACACAATTCGACATAAATTATTCCTAGTCGCAGCATATAATGCTGACACGAAAAACATAGAAAATAATTTTAGTTCATCAGTGAAATACTAAAATGCAACCAATAACAAAATTTAATATATTGCATTCGAATAATAATAATGAAGCTGTAATTTTGCCTTCACATCCAGATAACACATTTAATAACACAAAGTATTACATTTAATAGTACATGTCACACTGAAAACATGGACAACATTTTTCTTTACAATTATATTTTTTAAAAAATTTCTACAGAAGTTTTAATTTAAATGTAATGGCTACTTAAGTTTATATAAAATACGAGCATAATTTAACAAGCTGATGCTTTTGGTTATTTCATAAGCTTTCATGTTTCATATCTTCATTCAACTACACAAATTTACAGTAAGACAGAAAAAATTACACTAAGTTATTACCATAGCAAAATCAAATGCATACAGTTATGATAAACAAATACTGAAAAATATTTCGAAATGGCTAAAAATACGATCGAAAATTCACACTATAATTTAGAGTTATTGGTTACTACAAAACATAGTACGGATACAATACAAAAACACAAGTTGGTTTACTTATCGGCTGCTCGTTTGCACTACAGAAAAATATAGAAAAACATCATGAGAAGGTTTAACATCAGAAAATTACAGAAAAATGTAAAGAAAAATCAGTGTTTCAATTGTTATAAAACTGGATTAAAAACTTATTTTGTCGTAAGTAGCGGCAAATCTTGTAAACAAATCCACAACTGAAAAAACGATACAAATTGCGTAATAAACAGTTTTTGTTCACAGAAGAAAAAGATATCAAAAAGATATTTACCATTTTATGACATAATACTCATTTTATGTGAGAACTACATTCGAAGAAATGATATACACGAATAAAACACTTGACAATGTGCAATTCCTTCCACTGAGCTCCATTCACAGCAGAATCCAAGGCAATAAACAGCCCTCTACTTGTATTAATCGTTACGGAATGGATGAAGCCAACCAATCTACTGACAGTAAAACGTACTTGGGCATCTGAATTCATTGTATACGGAGGTTAATTTCCATGGCGCTTGTGTAAAATTCACAAAATTAAATAAAGTTCTAAAACTCAGAAAGTTACAGATCATGTCGAATAAAAATTAAATTAAAATGCTAAAATTACCAATGAAAATAATCTTTGAGATTAAGAAAATGTGTTCATTCTACGTTTATTAATTACTTATCAGGTGGGACAAAAAAATTATGTAATTTAGGAGTATTATACAGGGTGTACCGTAAATGTTGCGAAAAACTTCTGGAGAAGGCAGGGCACACCATAAGAATTAAGAATTGCGTTGGAACCCATGCCTGGAATCGTCAGGGTTAAGTGGTAGCAGACGTAGAGGATGGGAAAAGAAACAAGAGTGCTTAATTTGAAACATTTATTGGACTCGAATACAAATAGTGTACGACAGCTTAAATGTTGCAACAGATGCTCGAAATTTGCACCATCAGACGCCCAACATGCCTGACACCGATGGACCATTTATTGCCAAACATGTTCAAACACACCGGGAGTTTCTTTGATTGTAGCAGCTGCCCAGACAAGTCTTGCAACGAGATCCATTTCAAACGCAACAGGATCGTGATACACGACACTTTTGATGACTTCTCACAAAAAGAAATCAAGGCTCGATAAATCCGGTGAGCGTGGGGGCCAAGGAACTGGTCCACCACGCCCAATCCGCCGATGTGGGAATGATCTGTTCAAATGGCTACGAATATCCATCCAAAATGAGCAGGGGACCCATCATGTTGGAATCACATGTTACGCCTCATATTTGGTGGAATACAGTCAAGCAAATCGGGAAGAACCTGCTCGAAAGATCAAATAATTCGCGGCATTCAAATGGTCCGTTGGTGTCAGGTATGTCTGGCATCCGATGGTACAAACTTCGAGCATCTGTTTTAACATTCAATCTGTCGTACACAATTTGTATTCCTGTCTAATAAATGTTTCAAATTAATCAGTCTTTTTTCTTTTCCCATCTTCTACCTCTGCTACCTACCACTTAACCCTGACATTTCCGGGTATAGGTTCCTATGCAATTCTTAAGTCTTAAGATATGGCCAACGGTCCTAGAAGTTTGTCGCAACATTTACGGTACACCCTGTATAGCTTGTTTTGCATACAGATAGTATTGCACAGCTTATTCTGTATTCAGAGCAATAATATAGATAATTTAAATCTATATATTTCAGTGTTTTAATTTTTTAAATATTTAAAACTTGCCTGAGATGTTCTCAAAATATCATATTCACCATTAACCGTATGTCGGGCGCGTAAGATTTTTCATTGTTTTCGGAATGAATTGGATTATTTACATTAGAGCTATAGTTATAAGGATATCATCTTGAGGAGAAGGATGACTGCGTGTACATTTTAAATTGCGCCAGAACCCACCGGAGCCTGAATGCAGATTCTTCACACTATTTAAGATAAATTATAACTTAGAAGGCTTTTTCGAATCCTAAATAAGATAATCTCTGTTGCTGCTGTTTATGAAACTGACCAAGAATAAGTGACATTTGAATGCATGCTCTGGGAAACAAATCATTCCAATGGAAGTTAAGATTTTTATTCCAACGGCGAGTAGTGGCCCATAACGGCATTGCCTATTACTAAGGCCAGAAGTGGTGGCCATTTTATTTTGGAGGCACCTAATAGGTAGAGCTACTAGAGATACAGTAGCCTTACTAATAGGCGGCCACCGCTACCTCCTATGAAGGGACAGCCAATTTTACATCCAATGCCTTGCGCGGGATTCGCTTCCCGGTCCCGTCGGTATCGCAGTCAGGCTTCCCTAACAACTATACCGTCTGCATATTTCACAAGTGCACATCTGTGTAGCCACCGAGGGAGTGGCTTCTAGGATGGACCAATGAGCATCCAGTAATATTTCTGACATGCTACATGACCTTTTGCATGCTTTAAGATTTAAGAAAGATGGTTGAAAAGATTCTGCCACGCAATTTTCTGTACAAAATAATTAAAGCATCGTCGATTGCTTCTGGAACTTTTCACTGCGAAGTTAAATTAATTATAGAAAATTATGAAGATTTCACTATCTGGTTGAAATTATAAAACATGTGTATCCGCAAAAATTCGGTTAATTACTATGGTGGAAATAAGAAAAAATTATACCATGAGCCAAAAATTACAAAAAAGTATGAAAAAATTTACACCAATTGTATGAAAGAAGCAGACTTTTATTGCAGGTATATAAATAGAATCAGTAATTTTTTCCATGCGTTTTTTTGGTGTTTTTTCCATTGGTTTTTAGTATTTTTTCCATGCAGTTTTTTGGTGTTTTTTCCATTGGAATTTTAGTATTTTTCCATGCGTTTTTTGGGTGTTTTTTCCATTGGTTTTTAGTAATTTTTCCATGCGTTTTTTGGTGTTTTTTCCATTGGTTCTTTTAGTATTTTTCCATGCGTTTTTGGTTTTTTTTTTTTTTTTTGTTTTTTTTTTTTTTATTTTTCATGCGTTTTTTTTTGTTTTTTTCCATTTTTTAGTATTTTTCCATGCGTTTTTGGTGTTTTTTTTTTTTTATTTTTATGCGTTTTTTTGCATGCGATTTTTGGTTTTTTCATTTTTTGGTGTTTTTTTTCCATGCGTTTTTGGTCTTTTTTCCATGCGTTTTTTGGTTTTTCCGTTTTTTTGTTTTTTCATTTTTGGTGTTTTTTTCATGCGTTTTTTGGTGTTTTTACCATTGTTTTTGGTTGTTTTTTCCATGCTTTTGGTGTTCTTTTCATGCAATGTTTGGTGTTTTTCCATGCATTTTTTTTTTGGTGCATTTTTTTAATTTTTATGCGTTTTTTTTGCTTTTTTAATTTTGGGTGTTTTTTGCCATTGCGATTTTTTGGTGTTTTTTTCCATGCGTTTTTTTGTGTTTTTTCCGTTTTAATGTTTGGTGTTTTTCCATGCGCTTTTTGGGTGTTTTTTCCATGCGTCTTTTTGTGATTTTTCCATGCGTTTTTTGGTGTTTTTTGCATGCATTTTTGGTGTTTTTTCCATGCGATTTTGGTCTATTTTTAATGCGTTTTTTGGTGTTTTGCCTTCTCTTTTTTTGTGTAATTTTCGTGCGTTTTTTCGTGTATTTTTCATGCGTATTCTAGGAATATTTCAATGCATTTTTTTGTGTTTTTTCGACGCGTTTTTTTTGTATTTTCCATGCGTTTTTTTTGTATTTTGCTTGCATTTTTTCGTGTTTCTTCTATGCGTTTTTGGTGTTTTTCCATGCGTTTTTTGGTGTTTTTTCATGCATTTTTTTCGTATTTTTCCATGCGTTTTTGGTGTTTTTGCATTCGTTTTTTGTAGTTTTTTCCATGCGTTTTTGGTGTTTTTTGCATGCAATTTTTGATGTTTTTTCTATGCGTCTTTTTGTGATTTTTGCATGCAATTTTTGGTGTTTTTTGCATGCATTTTTTGGTGGTTTTTGCATGCGTGTTTTGGTGTTTTTTGCATGCGAATTTTGTGAGATTTCCAGGCGTGGTTTGGTGTTTTTTGCATGCATTTTTTGTGTTTTTCCATGCGTTATTTGGTTTTTTTTTCATACGATTCTTTGGTTTTCTTCCATGCGTTCTTTTGGATTTTTCCATACGTTTTTTGGTGCTTTTTGATGCATTTTTGGTGTATTTTTCATGCGTTTTTTGGTGGTTTTATTACGTGTTTTTGGTGTATTTTTCTTGGGGTTTTCGTGTATTTTTCATGCGTTTTCTAGGATTCTTTCCCTGCGTTTTTTTTGTTTTTGCATGCGCTTTTTGTGAATTTTGCGTGCTTTGGTGTATTTTTCATACGTTTTTTTGGTGTTTTTTGCATGCGGTTTTTGTGAATTTTCCACGCGTGTTTTGGTGTTTTTTCATGCATTTTTGGTGTTTTTTCCATGCATTTTTTGGTGTTTTTTCCATGTGTTTTTTGGTGTATTTTTTTTACGTTTTTTGTGTTTTTCCATGCTTTTTTTGGGATTTTTCCATGCGTTGTTTTGGTGTTTTTTGCATTCAATTTTTGGTGTTTTTCCATGTGTTTTTGGGTGTTATGACCACTCGTTTTTTTTGTCATTTTGCATGCGTTTTTTGGTATTTTTTGCATGCATTTTTTGGTGTTGTTTGCATTCGTTTTTTGTTGTTTTTTGCATGCGCTTTTTGTGATTTTTCCACGAGTGTTTTGGTGTTTTTTGCATGCATTTTTTTGCTGTTTCTTCCATGCCTTTTTTAGCATTTTTCCCATGCATTTTTTATGTCTTTTCTACGCTTTTTTTTTTGTGATTTTTCCTTCGTGTTTAGGTGTTTTTTTCTTGCACTTTTTCGTATTTCTTCTATGCGTTTTTTGGTGTTTTTTCCATGCGTTTCTTTGGTGTATTTTGCATGCTTTTTTTGGCATTTTTGCATGCTTTTTTTTTGGTGTTTTTTTCCATGCGTATTTTGGTGTTATTTCCATGCGTTTTTGTGGGTTATTTCCATGAGTTTTTGGTGTTCTTTGCATGCAATGTTTGGTGTTTTTTCAATGCGTTTTTTGATGTTTTTTCGAAGCGCTTATTGGTGTACTTTTCATGCATTTTTTGTGGTTTTTCTACCCGTAATTTGGTGTATTTTTCTTGCGTTTTTTCGTGTATTTTTCATGCGTTTTCTAGGATTTTTTCCACGCTTTTTTGTGTTTTTCCAGGCGTTTTTTTTTTGTGTGATTTTTGCATGCGTTTTTTGGTGTCTTTTTCATGCATTTTTTGGTATTTTTTGCATGCGCTTTTTGTGATTTTTCCACGTGTTTTGTTCCTTGCATGCATTTTTTTATGTTTTCTCCATGCGTTTTTTTGGTGTATTTTTCATACTTTTTTTGTTTTTTTCCATGCTTCCATTTGGGATTTTTCCATGCGTTTTTTTTTGGTGTTTTTTGCATGTAAATTTTGGTGATTTTCATGCGTCTTTTTGTGATTTTTTCTTGCGTTTTTTG